AGGCATAAAAATGTCATAGTATAGTAAGGCATAAAAATGTCAAATTATGATAAGGTATGAAAACGTCATAGTATATTAAGGCATAAAAAGTCATAGTATAGTAAGGCATAAAAAAGTCAAATTATAATAAGGCATAAAAAAGTCATAGTATAGTAAGGTATAAAAATGTCATAGTATAGTAAGGCATAAAAATGTCATAGTATAGTAAGACATGAAAAAGTCAAATTATAATAAGGTAAAAAAATGTCGAAGTATAGTAAGGCATAAAAATGTCATAGTATAGTAAGACATGAAAAAGTCAAATTATAATAAGGTAAAAAAATGTCATAGTATAGTAAGGCATAAAAATGTCATAGTATAGTAAGACATGAAAAAGTCAAATTATAATAAGGTAAAAAAATGTCGAAGTATAGTAAGGCATAAAAATGTCATAGTATAGTAAGACATGAAAAAGTCAAATTATAATAAGGTAAAAAAATGTCATAGTATAGTAAGGCAAAAAAACATCATAGTATAGTAAGGCATAAAAATGTCAAATTATAATAAGGTATAAAAAAGTCATAGTATAGTAAGGCATAAAAAGTCATAGTATAGTAAGGCATAAAAACGTCATAGTATAGTAAGTCATAAAAAAATCATAGTATAGTAAGGCATCAAAAGTCATAGTATAGTAAGGCATAAAAATGTCAAATTATAACAAGGTATAAAAACGTCATAGTATAGTAAGGCATAAAAAGTCACAGTATAGTAAGGCATTAAAATGTCCTAGTATAGTAAGGCATAAAAATGTCAAATTATAATAAGGTATAAAAATGTCATAGTATAGCAAGGCATAAAAATGTCATAGTATAGCAAGGCATAAAAAGTCATAGCATAGTAAGGCATAAAAATGTCATAGTATAGTAAGGCATAAAAACATCATAGTATAGTAAGGCATAAAAAAGTCAAACTATTAAAAACGTCATAGTATAGTAAGGCATAAAAAGTCACAGTATAGTAAGGCATTAAAATGTCCTAGTATAGTAAGGCATAAAAATGTCAAATTATAATAAGGTATAAAAAGTCATAGTATAGTAAGGCATAAAAACATCATAGTATAGTAAGGCATAAAAAAGTCAAACTATAATAAGGTATAAAAAGTCATAGTATAGTAAGGCATCAAAAGTCATAGTATAGGTAAGGCATAAAAATGTCATAGTATAGTAAGGCATAAAAAAGTCAAATTATAATAACGTATGAAAAAGTCATAGTATAGTAAGGCATAAAAATGTCAAATTATAGTAAGTCATAAAACGTCATAGTATAGTAAGTCATAAAAACTTCATAGTATAGTAAGGGAAAAAAAAGTAATAGTATAGTAAGTCAAAGTATAGTAAGGTATAAAAAGTATTAAAGTAAGGTATTATACTAAGGCATAAAAAGTCATAGTATAGCAAGGCATAAAAAAGTCAAATTATAAAAAGGTATAAAAACATAGTATAGTAAGGCATAAAATGTCATAGTATAGTAAGTCATAAAAACGTCATACTATAGTAAGGCATAAAAAATCATAGTATAGTAAGGTATAAAAGACATAGTATAGTAAGGCATAAAAAGTCATAGTATAGTAAGTCTAAAAACTTCATAGTATAATAAGTCATAAAAACTTCATAGTATAGTAAGGCATAAAAATGTCAAAAAACGTAATAGTATACTAAGGCACAAAAATCATGAAAACGTCATAGTATAGTAAGGCATAAAAATGTCAAAAAACGTAATAGTATACTAAGGCACAAAAATGTCAACAAACGTCATAGTATAGTAAGGGAAAAAAAGTCATAGCATAGTACAGCATAAAAAAGTCATAGTATAGTAAGGCATAAAAAGTCATAAAAATGTCATAGTATAGCAAGGCATAAAAATGTCTTAGTATAGTAAGGCAAAAAAAAGTCATACCATAGTAAGGCATAAAAACGTCATAGTATAGTAAGGCATAAAAAAGTCATTATAGTAAGGCATAAAAAGTCATAGCATAGTATAGCATAAAAAAGTCATATTATAGTAAGGCATAAAAAGTCATAGTATAGTAAGGCATAAAAATGTCACAGTATAACAAGGCATAAAAAAGTCATAGTATAGTAAGGCATAAGAAGTCATAGTATAGTTAGGGAAAAAAAAGTCATAGCATAGTAAGGCATAAAAACGTCATAGTATAGTAAGGCATAAGTAGTCATAGTATAGTTAGGGAAACAAAAGTCATAGCATAGTAAGGCATAAAAACGCCATAGTATAGTAAGTCATAAAAAATCATAGTATAGTAAGGCATAAGTAGTCATAGTATAGTTAGGGAAACAAAAGTCATAGCATAGTAAGGCATAAAAACGCCATAGTATAGTAAGTCATAAAAAATCATAGTATAGTAAGGCATAAGTAGTCATAGTATAGTTAGGGAAACAAAAGTCATAGCATAGTAAGGCATAAAAACGCCATAGTGTATTGAGGCATAAAAACATCATAGTATAGTAAGAAAAAAAAGTCATAGTATAGTAAGGCATAAAAAAGTCAAAGTATAGTATGGCATAAAAACGTCATAGTATAGTAAGAAAAAACAAAGTCATAGTATAGTAAGGCTTAAAAAATCATAGTATAGTAAGGCATAAAAACACCATATTATAGCAAGGCATAAAAAATTCATAGTATATTAAGGCATAAAAAGTCATAGAATAGTACAGCATTAAAAGGCTATACTGTAGTAAGGCATAAAAAGTCATAGTAATAGTAAAGCATAAAAAAGACATAGTATATTAAGGCATAAAAAGTCATAGCATAGTACAGCATTAAAAGGTTATACTGTAGTAAGGCATAAAAAGTCATAGTAATAGTAAGGCATGAAAACTTCATAGTATATTATGGCATGAAAACATACTGCAGTAAAACTTACGTTTAGGGCCAGCCTTGCACAAAGGAAACTGTTTGAATGTGTCCAGTTAAGAAGCACCCCAGTGTATAAAGTCATCCCACCTTAATGAGTGTGCCGTCATTGCAGTGCCAGACGATGCCCTCGACTCGGCCCTCTGGATTTTCCTGGAACCAGGAGCAGAGCTGCTGGAAGTCCACGGGTGGAGGGTTTGTGATATAAACGCTCCCGTGTGACACCAGGCAGTGGACAGGCTGCTTCTTACTCCCCAGTCCTGCCAGAACAGTAACACTCCACTTTACAATACTGACAACTAAGATTAGGATTTGACTTTATTTGTTTAATCCAGTAACTATTTAGTACCAATTCATAACAAAAACTTCCTTTAATGTTTCCCCCGTTTTAGGAATGTTTAAATGTCTCTGAAAAGACCACTACATCTTAAGATTGGTAAAAGTCACACTTTGATCTCTTGTTTTAGCAAATATATTAGGGAATTGATAAACACATAGATTAAATGTGTTGTAAATATTACTGTGAAATTTGTTCACAAATAGGACACAGACAGGAAATCCTCTGTCTCTGCTGCGTGAAATAATAAAGGGATAACAGCATTTAGATAACAATCTGTTTGAAATTACTCTCCCTTGACAATAACGTAAATGCATGCTGAAGAAAAATGTAAATATCACATTACCATAAGGGTTCCCATTGACATTGGTTCCAATGAGCTCCAGCGTTTGTTCCATGAGCTCAGCCAGTGGAACAGTAGTGATCTCCAGCATGTCTTCATTGTCGGCGTTGGGCCTGAGAACAAGAGCCGCCCCGACTTCATAATCCACCACAGAGGAGTGCCAACAGTACTGCTTGTTGTCCTTCTCCACTGGAACCCAGCCTGAACATTCACAAGTACCACATCAATACAACTCCAGGCAGTATCGAGCATTTTACATCATGTTGATCATTACTATGTAAGAACTTGTACCAGGTTTGTAAATTCTGATCTTGAATGCTTCAAAATCAAGAATGATACAATTTTATTTTCTTTATCATAGAAGTGCCAGACAATAATATTGCTAAGTGTTATGAACTGCAGAGGTCTCTAAGTGAGTCAGAGTGACCTGCAGAGGTGGCAGCTACATGTTTTCTATATTGAGGACATTTATGTTAATAAGTCGATATAAATTCTTTTAAGGTCTGTCCTAATACCCACACTCCTAGAAAACATGACAAAGATCATGACATCAATCAAATAATAATATTAGTGTGATTCTTGCTAAGTTCCACATTGATTACATCTATATCAACTATCAAAAGTGTAATCAATATCATATCAGCTGAGTATTCTGGTAAGTGTTAAGTCACTGAAAATTAAAATGATTTCATAAACACACAAATAAACTTGGTATGTTAGTAGATGTTTAATTTTTAGGTCGACCCGTGTTGTTTGTTTTGGAGCTTTAATTCGATACTTAATACTCAATCCTGAACAGCACATATTGATACCATCATCATAACACAAAGGGAAAGATCTTGTATAGGCTTTTCTGTTCTTATGAGTTTGACACAATGAATGATGGGTAGTTTTAATCATGACTGAGGTGATGCAGGCAGCTGACATCTCCTCCTGCAAACACAGACCTTGTCAGAACATTTTGCAGTGTGTTGATTTAAGTTCAGAATTGAAATTAACAGGATTTATCCATTCATCCATCCACTCTCTGTAACCACATATCCTGCTCTGAGCTCAGTGTTAACTTTAATGGTGCCAAGGGCTGGAGGTTTTTATATCCTGCACTGGTGCAAGATTCAATCTGCCTTTAAGCAAAACTAATATCAGCTGTAACTGCACATGTGCAGTGAAGCTTTGCTAACGTACACACCCTGCAGGTTACAGCTGAAGAGGATTTGAATGACTATATTTATCTATGTGATATGGCAGAGAACCTGGAATGTGTCCGTGTTCGTCAGGCAGCGGGTGGCCATTGAGATGTTTGACCCCGTGAGCTGGGATCCACGTCTCCGGCACCGTCTTAAAATCTTCTTCTACGTTCCACGTGAAACCTGAAAACAAACACAAAGACAATAAAAACTAGTCCAACCTCCCTGCAGAAACGATGACACGTAATGTGCAAAAAAAAAAAATACTGGTCTTTAACCTTTACAGCTCCTGTGAGAGTGCTGGTACTTTTTGAACCTCTTCTCTGCTTGTTTGTTGGGTTTCCTGTCAAGTCGAGCCCAGAGGTACGGCTGCTCTACATGACAAAGATAAACCATGATTTAGTTCATCACACTGTACACACCAAGCAAATCATAACGGAGTCACTTTCATTGTTCGGTTTTTGTAGAAAAATGACGCCACTATCAATCGACATGTATCCAATTTACAACAATCACAATATGAAGCAAGAAAAACAAATAACCAGCTCATTCAGCTCGATACTCACCTTTATAAACTGTGACATAACAGCAGGTACCATCCAGTTTCTCTGTGGCGAGTGCACAGTCTACATTGGCCTCCAGAGCGACAGGGTTCACATTTTCAGTGGCGACAACTTGAAATTGCTGAAGACAAACAGACAGAGATGTTTAACCATTAGAAGTCTGAGAGAGATGACTGAACTTCTCTTTACTTATTATGGTTATTCACTTGTAATTTAAAAAATAAATCAACCATGTATCAAAACAGAAAGAAGCAGGACTTTGGTATAAGTCCCATTCCATTAACATGTTTTAAACACCTCTATGGTTCAACCACTAGGAGCTGCAAAAAAAATCTGACATTTTAATTCATTATTGTGGCGTCACTCTGCAGTTTTTGCCATAATGATTATAATACAATTTTCACTTCCCTGGCACTTATGACTGACCCATTTAAAATGAATTATAGATCCAGAGATGGACAGTGGCTCAGTGGTGAACAGCATCATGAACATCAATTGGAAAATGTCCCAGAATAATTTACTGACTGCCAAGCTTTAGCTTTTGTTTTCAGTAGTGCTGAAACAATCAGTCAACTGACAGAAAATGTACCAACCACATTTTCAATTTTTTTAATTTACTGTATTAATTGCTGAAAACATTTATCAAGTCAAAACACCAAAACATGTGTTTGTTCCAGCTTCTCATATGTGAGCCATCTGCTGTTTTTCTCTTTTTTTATGTTGTTGTGAGCTGAATATCTTTAGTTGTAGACTGTCAGACAAAACATGCGAGCTGTTGATGTTACTATCACATGTTGTAAATCAAATAAATTTACTGTGAGTGAACAGAACTTTGTAAATGACCAGAGGTTTTCTAAAAACATTTATACTATTATTGTGACCACATATATTTGTTTTTCAGGTATTTCAATAATTCAGTGGATTTACAAAACACACATTTCCATCTGATCATTATATCAACTGCATGTTAAGATGAACAATGAGTCTCGCAACAGTTTCTCCACAGTAATCACTGTAAAATGCAACAGTCCTACTGTAATTTAACAACTGGAAATCTGTTTCCACAAACTATCAAAACTCATGTGTATCCTCTGGGCAGGACAGAGTATGAGTTCGACCAGTTGTCAGTCAATGGTCTATGTTTTGGTACATAAATAGTTTCTACATGTTAATAGTTTTACAGTCAGCTCACTCACTTAAAACCAGAGTATTAACCTTAGTTAACACCAAAGTAACCAATAGGTATTGAACCCAGCACATGACATGAAAAAAAAAGACATTACTTTTACAATATTTTTAATAAATACGTAAAGTACCAATTAATACACAATATACATGGAAATTGTTCTGCTGCATTGTTTTGTTTTTTTCGTTTTTTTTTTTTAATATTAATACTCATGCACGTCAGCGTACAGGTGTGCAAAAATAAAATTGCGTATGTATCATTTTCAGTCAGACAGTAATTTACAGTCGGTCCCTAACTTAATGTTGTCATGGCGGGCTCGGTGGGCTCTTGTGGCCGTATTCAGACAGCGAACAGCGGCTGTCCGCAGGTCTGTTGAGCTGAATAATGAACGGTTCGTGATGTTTACAGATGAATGGCTGCTGCTGCTGCTGCTGCTGCTGCTGCTGCTCTCACCTGACAGGCTCGTTTTCTGGACTGTTCTTCTTTCACTTCCGTCAGAAACACACACGGTATCTTCTGCTGAACGGAGCCCAGACGTCGCATCTTTGTGTCGTCTTTAATTTCCACCTGAAGCCCCAAGAAACCTCGGGGTTTTTTTTTTTTTTCGCAGAGAAGAGCAGAAATTTTAGCGACGTTGCAGCATGGATGCAGGTGAGTTTTCTGGTCACGTGGTCTGGTTCTTCTTCGTCGGTGGACAAACAATGAAATGACTCATTAGCGCCACCTTGCTGTGGGCTCATTTTCCAAACTCAACTCCAGCCGCAAGTTTGGAGAGGTTTGAAGATTTTATGTATATTTATTTCCAACACACACTGCGTATATCTAAACTCTAAATCAAAATTTATGATGACATGACAATATATACATTTATTTAAAAACATCTTATTCTGCTTTGACTAATAACCTTTTTCCCACAAAAAAGGTCCATTACTTTGTTAAATATATATCTATCAAAAATCCCATCTACTCCTTCTCCCCCATTTAATAGAATCTACAAAAATGCAAATATTGTTCATTTCAAAGGTTGAACTTCTACACACAAGATACTCAACTTCACTAAAAGGTCCATTCTCAGTGTACATATGTGCACGGGATGCCTCAAGTTTCCACATGACTTCCCAGCTAGATGTAAAGGTACAAATCATCCTCAGAAATACAAGTCTTAAAGTCAAATGATAACCAAAAAATAAATAAATAAATAAATAAAATTAGTGAATGGGGATCATATTTATCATATTTTGACAAAGTTGCACATGGGACAGTAAAGTGTGTTTTGTTTTCTTCATTGCAGAATGCAATACATAAATGTAATGAAATCACAGCCTTGTTATTGTTTTTTTCTCCCCTGGAGGTAAAAAAGCAATAAAGTAACATTTATTTTTTAATTAAATGTGTTTACTTTATTTAAAGACACATTAATTAAAAGTTTTGTAATCTAATTAAACACTTGTTTTGAACAATGTTTACTAAATGAAATAATTGAGCAATAGCTTATAATTAATGAGTGAATAAATTTAGATTATGTTGCTGACAAACTTCATCTCCATCCAGAGTCAGGGCCCACTTTATTATGTACACCTTTACAATCTCTACTAATGCAATTCATTTCCACAACTCTGCAATAAATTCTACATTTGCAAAGCTTACAATGTTGGGCTTTTGATGACATTTTTGCAAATGTGTAAATTTAATTGTGTGTTTATTATTTAAAGGTAGTGTTGCACTGGACTACAATATTTTGAGAGGTGTTTCTAATCATTTGTCCTTCCTATTTACACACATGAGGAGGACAGGATTTAACACCTCTCAATTTAAAGCAGTCTAGTACAACACCATCACTATAGCAGCAATGCTAAAACATATAATTTAATTAACACCTTTGTGACTGTGTTAACAAAATTCCAACATTATAAGCTTTAAGTTTAAAAATCCCAATGCAGGGCACTTCTGTGTAACATGGATTCTCTACAACTGTCTTCTGTCTCAAGAACAGAAACAAAACGCACCTTGTGATGAAAAATTAAGTAGATTTATTTCAAAATTATAGACAAGAATTTTATTGGCAATAATATGCTCATGCACACAAACACAGGGAGAGACAGACCGAATAACTGCAGCTTTTCACTCTCAGTATAAGTTTAGAGGAACAAAGGTCATACGATGTACAGTATGTTCAAATTTACAATCACTTTGATGAATATAGTTTATGAAATACACAATATTATAAACATTTTCTGATATTTATCAGGTAACACTGTGGCAGTATTTCATTCAGTTCGCTCCCCCTCACAGAAATATCATAGAGCTACTCTGAATAGTCTGTTTTAATGTCTGGATTCACAAACAGCGTGATGTCACTGGAGTACTTCCTGTCTGACACTTCATATTCATCATCTTCCTCTGCTCCCTGTTGACTGTGCAGGTCCGTCTCACTGTCATTGTGCTTCCACATCTCTGTCTCTGTGTCGTCTTTGTGTTGCCCCGGAGACCAAAAGGTGAAAATGTTCCTTTTTCCAAACGGACAGAAAAAAAAAAACGATATGAGAAACTTGATACACATGGATCAGTAAAAGTAAATCAAGTTCAGTAGACGCGTTGAAGAGGCTATAAGACAGTTATCCTCTCTAGTTGCAGTTTGTTAAACTGTCTCCTGCTGCAAAGTGCATCATAAAAGCTTTAACTTTAGTTTTACACATACAAAGGAAACAGAGTATGAAGATCATGAGCTCCAGTTGTCTCTAGTCTGTCTCTTTGATCACAGTGAAGCTCCATAGACACCACAGACACTAGGTATCTGATAACATGACTCACAGTTTGTAGTACCACACAGCACCTGCTGCTGTCAGAAGCAGAAGAATGACGCCAAAAATGATGAGTGCCGTAGGTACAGCTGGAAAATAAACCAAGATGTATTAATGACTTCCACAAACTCTTATCTCGTTTATATCATATATCTGTGCAGCAGTTCAAATCCCAGTTTAACCACACACTCTTATTTGGGATCCAGATCTCTCAAAGCTGCGGCAGGTGTCTGAAACCAGGACATGGCCGGGATCCTCCAACAACCTGATCACAACCAGGACACTCAGGGACATGTAAACACACTCATCGAGAAATAATTCTGTTCCATTCTGATTTCTTATATGTGGGGCATGAGTGATGAATAGATGACTGGATGAACATTATGTAAACAGGGCACCATGGCTCAGCTTGTTACCATGGTACTTAGCAGCTGACCATTGCAGTTCCACCACCTAAGACTAAGTCAATCTCATGGCTCTTTGTTTTTCTAAATATTTTTCTTAATATTCTTGTGTGTTTTGTTAATTAATCAATTCATTAAATGGTAATACCCTTATTTATATATCCTGTCCCTGTTTTTCCGGATAGGGTAAGGTAAGGTAAGTAGGAAAAACATCTGTTGAAAATATAAAATGTACTCAAAGTGACCTCTACTGGTGACTAGATGGAGATGCATGAATGTAATTTACAAGTTTCCGTCCCTTTCTGCTCAAAACCTTGAGCTCCATTGGCTTTTGAAGTCATAACAGAGAGGAATAAAAAAAATAATTAGAGTAAAGAATTTTGCTTCCTCTTGGAAAAACTGACAAAAGAACATCACAACCACAAAAAAATAAAATAAATACAGAACATTAAAGAAGACAAGGACGCACCTCCTAGAGAAGGTTGTGCAGAGCTCACATGCGGAGGCAGCACCGACACAGAAGTAGAAAAGGCAGCAGTGACGACAGTAGGTTTCGAGGCGATGAGGTGAGAGAGAGATGTAGGAATACGGGTGGAGAAAGTTTTAAGAGAAGTGGAGGTGGAGGAAATCCTAGTTGAACATGTTGTCTTGACCAGGAGAGTAGAAGCTGTAGTGGAAGCTTTCTTCTCAGGGGTTTTTGTTGTTATTGGCTTTACTGAAGACGCGGCCTTGGTTGTTGTTGATGTAACCAGAGCTGCAGTGGGCGTGGAGCTTCGGGTCAGTGCTGTCGGCGTGGTTGGAGACGTGGAGGTTTGGGCGGCAGCTTTTGATGTAGAAGGACTTTCCTGTAAATCTGCAGGTGGTGAAAAAAAGGTTTACATTTACAATGCATTTATTGAACTGATGTTCAGCATTACCTTTATATGGTGGCCCAGATGGGTCAACACGAATGCAAAAGCCACAACACAAATTAATTGCATTTATGTTGTGGCTTTTGCATTCGTGTTGACCCATCTGGGCCACCGTACCAGGATACACAGACAACATTTCATGAGTGTAGAAGGATCATTAAAGAGAGGAAGGGAATAAAAAGAGGACAGTTTTCTATTTTGCTCAAATAACATATAGGAACATTCATTAAGGTTCAGTAAATGCAAAATGAATAATGCACAATTTTATCATAAAAAAAAAAAAAAAAAGATGTAATGGTGCTGATGGAAATAAACTGTACCTGACGAGCTGAAGCAGTAAACACCAAACTGTTTGTCTGCACTTGCGCGCCACGTCACCACCCCAGTTTTACCCTTTCCACAGTTGTTGTCGGGCGTAAGTCGTGGGAGGACTGCGATCTGTTCAGCTATCCAGCCGAATCTGTTAAAAAATAATACAGTGTTGAAAATGTAGTTAAAGGACTGATGAGTCCATCGCTTTAAAGGGGAATTACACCTATTTTAAGGTGGAGCTCCAAGTCTATACACAGGTCTCGGGGAGAAATACTGCAAATGTGAAAAAAACGTTTAAAATAATGCTTTTTTGGGGCTTCAGGCGTCTGATAAATCGCCTTAAGTGATGTCACTTGAGTCAGCATTAGTTGGGTGTGAAAAGCATCTTCATTCATTGAGGATTTGTCTCTGGTTGTCATGGCCACCCAATAATTTTCCACATTTCTATCTTCATTTTGTACTCTCCATGCCTGATCTTATATTTATCAAATAATTTCCCTCAGGTATTTGGTAGTTTCCAGATTGTGGAGCCCAGGTGGGATTCAAACCCAGGACCCTGTTGATGGAAGACAGAGCTGAACACTTAAATTCACAAATACCGTAAGTAACAATAACAGATCTGTTTGACATCTCCAACTTTTCACTGTGAGAGAATCTACAGTTGAGCTGCATGTGCAGACTGAACAGCAGGCAGACTTGAACAAGTTACTGAGTGACAAATATTCACAGCTCATATGTAAACACCTTTCACTGGTACAGGCTGCACTCACACTTCAGTAGGACTGGGTCTGCTGAGGGAGCAGGGCTTCATTTTGTCACAGAGACACACAAGTTACTTCACGAGCTTAAAGTATCGACTGAACAAATGCCTGATGTTTTTTAAATCTGTAATGTTCCCCTTTAATTTCCAAATCCTACCTACACACACACACACTTATGGAACAGTAAAACTCAATATTTAGCATTTGTTCAGCTGGTATTGACGGCTAAACGACATGATGCACTTGGTTCGGTGAGTTTTTTTGCGGATTAACTGATCAATAATAAAGTGTAGTAAAGCTCTCAACAGTAACAGGTATTCACATCTGCCACACCACAACAGTCGCCACATGTTTTCTCGAGCCTACTTGCACGTCTCCAGTCCTTGCTGCAGTGCTTGCTCCATCTGGTCTCTGGTCGCTATGGTGACGTTCAGAAATAGGCAGGCAGCTCTGGCAGCAGTGAAGTTCAAGGTGTACTTCCCTCCTTCAATGAGCATGAAGACTCCAGCCGTTATGGGACTTTGAGGGACTAATGACATTTTTTGTAAGAACACACACATTTTTGTTAAGATACGCATGAACTTATGCATCTTATCTTTATAGCTGTGTACATTTAAAGTGTTATTTGCTTTCCCCACTGTTCTAAAAGTAATTTATATTAATGGTAAACTCACTCTAACATCATTATATATTGTGATTCAAACAATATATATGTTGGTACAATAAATAGGAACCTAATATAGGCACACATGTGCCAAGGGTTAATTCATGGTGTAGTGGAGACAACTAAAAATACACAGTAATGGAAATTTTCTCATGATTATATTTGATAAATGTGCATTTTTCATGTATTCTTGAAGCTTCTATCTGACTGTGACCATAGAATTAACTTTTTTATTGTCACATGAAAAACAACTAAGAAGAAGTTAGAGCCGAAAAATGTCCTGAAAATATTCCTTTAACCATAAAAGATCATGCAAAAACTAATTCTTAAATGTTACAAATTCAAGCATTGATAGTGACCACAACATTTTCACACCAGCAAAATAAACAAATACATAAATGTTCCAGTATCTGGTGAAAAAATGTGGCGCTCCACCAGAAAACAAACAACTTACCTTGAATTACACTGGATTCTGCGGCAGGAAACAAAGCTGCCAAACAAAGCATTAAACACTGAGTAAAAAACATAAATCTTGCCATGTTTTGCATAAAATATATACAACTGCAGCGGAGCGAAAGTGAACAACCAAATAAAGCGAATGCAGGGAAAAAGCCTCAAAACAAATGTGATGTCCATAAGAAGAGGAAACAGGAAGAGCAGGTCAAATCTGCTTGACGCCCTGTTAAGAGATAACACCCACGTCCACACATCAGAAAGCCCTTGACAGTAGCTCTTAGTGTGTTTGATCCAAACAGTTATCAAATCGCAGATATAGGATATTTACTGTATATCAAGTTCAACACTATCCTAGTTAAAAATGAAAACAAATTGAGGATTTCCAGGAAGTATTAAAGCGGGATGACAGGAAACATCAACTTTAAACAGTCTTCTAAGATAAATAAGTAACAGAGAATGATCCTTTTGGTGTTATCACGGAGCTGATCAAGCACATGCAGGTTGCTCCATGCTTCTTTATCAAATTGGTGGCTTCACAGCCAAATATGGAAAAAGAAATATTTGCTTAAAAATAAACATTTTTATGGAGGTTATCAGTGGTTTGGAGATTTTCTGCCTTGCCAGCATCTCTCTTCCAGAGGTGTGTTTGCTCTGACGGGAAAGGGAACTTCCGCCACATTGTTCCTGCTTCTGTGTTTTTTTTCTGTCTCTTTTTCACAACCACTTTCTCTCTTCTTCCCTATGAATTCATCAAGCTCATGGTGGTATTTTCTATAATGTCTCCGCAGCTCCATGTCACCAAAGAAGAGTGAGAGTGTTCAGTCCTCTTCCCTTTTTCCTTCAACCCATCACAGAGGAATAACTGCGTGTCCCCTGGCACACATCAAAGACCCAAACAGAAACAACATGCAGCTGATGACGGAGCATCTTTGGTCTGTTTGCATGTTCGGCGTGGGTGGGTGGCACAGTTCTTTTAATTGTGGTCCACTTTGTTTTCATATCAAACTGAGCTTGCACATCTATCTATCTATCTATCTATCTATCTATCTATCTATCTATCTATCTATCTATCTATCTATCTAAACACCCCAAACAGAACACAAGGATGAAGGTGCAGTCACATTGTGTAGACAACCATCTATCTTACCTTAAACTCACTCACTTGCCTAATTGAATAGATTCAGTACTTAGTACTTAGTGTTGTCCCTCACTTGTAAGTTGCTTTGGATAAATGAGTAAATGTACTGTAACTTGTCTGATCCTTAAATACACCCACGTGTTTCTCTCTGTGTAGGAGCAACACTTCATTACAGTGACTTTAAAATCCCTCGCTGACAGCGAAGATGTTCTACTGTACAAAGGTGCAGAGGACGAGAGAGTTCAACATGACCTACTTTCATGACTGGGTGAATATCATGTGAGCTTCCTGCCTGCTTCAGGCTTGCAGCATGGATGACTGGCTGTAAGGGATACAGCACTGTAACACAGATAAGAGCTGCAGGAGAAGCTAATTGGTCACACTTCCCTGGTCAAGAAGAGTGGAAGTCTCACTTCACCCAGAGGGAGAGAAAAGCATAATTCAGTGTTAAAAGTGTGACAATTTCTCTTCACGCAGCATCAACACAGGAAGTCGTCCTCAGGGATCACAGCAGATTGTAACTGAAACAGTTTTTCTGAAGCCACTGATTCAAAGCCAATTATATACACCCCCCCCCCCCCCCCCCCCAGACAGACTTGTTAAATAATTTACTCTTCCTAATTGTCCCTTTTTGTTGTTTCTCTTTCTCTCTTTTTTAAAGATGTTAATATAAATGTTAGTGTTAAAACCCATAGAGAAATACATAAGAAATAACTGCACCTTTGGCTTTCCACACTTTTCAAATACCAAAGAGGCAGTACAAGTGTTCCTCACACATTCCCTCAAAAGAAATGTCACTGACACCAATTTTGTCATTAAGGCACAACAAACGTCATCCTATCTCCCTGCAGTTTCCAGAGTGTCAGTAACAGCTTCTTTTCCCCCTCTGCTCCGTCGACCTGAGGACACCTGAAGACTGGCTATGAAGTCCAGGGAACGGCACGACTTGTCTGAAGATTTCATGTGAAAATCTGAATGAAAGGCCAACAACATAGACAAAAGGTGTCCTCATACCAGAACACACGGACTGTTTGCTTCTGTCCCACACAGGTTTTTGTCCTATCACCTTACCTAATGAATAATGAACGATGACAGGAGCCACCCCGTGAACTCGACGTGAAACTGAGAACTTCATTCACCTTGTTGGCCAGCGTCCTGACTTCAAACCAGGAGCCCCATCTTCTCTCAGAGCATCATCACGGTAACGCTGAAGTAAACTCTGAAATGTCACTCAGAGCCAAATCCCACACGGACCTGCAGACAGCTGGGAAGTCCTCGCTGGACCACAGCTTGTACAAGTCATTCTCCATGAGCAGCAGTAACGTCAGCAGAGGCGGCCGGTTCGGGAACGGGGCAACAGAAGAAGTCAAAGGTCTCTCCAGGCCGACCAGGAGGCCCGTACGGGTGGTCAGGCCGGTCAGCGCCATCAACTCCAACGGCTCCTTCCTCCAGATCAACCACCTGCAAGGAGAGCTGGTCAGAAAGAGGAAGGTAAGGAGGAGGTTGGGTGAGTGTGGAAGAGTGTTGCATCAGATCTCATTTTCATGCATCCTAAGAGATTTAGTTAGCTTTATGAACGTGAAGAAAAGCTACTTGACCGCTAACGCTAATCTGCAACCTGCTAAATGTGAGAGAGTGAGTTTATGAGCGAGTTGCAGATCAGTTCCATACAGTGTTTTGTAATTAAAAAGATGTGAAGTCACTAAAGTCATTTAGGAAAGTTCAGAATCTCACCACAAAGTCTTTTTTTTTTTTTAGCATTCTGGGGCTTTCTATCATATCACATGATCTTCATCACCAAATGGAGTTTGCCCAGTTGTCGTGGAATTTCTATGGAAACCCTGAAAAGCAAATGAAAAGATTTGTAGGGGGGTTGTTTTTACAGATTAAAAAAAGTTTCCAATTTCTACAAAAAAAAAAATTCTAAAAGAAAAAATTACAAAAGAAAAACAAACAAACAAAAAAATCCTAAAATAAAGAAAATCTGTGCAACCAACCCCAGAGAGGAAAATGAAGTGAAAAAATAACTTGCCTTTCAGGGCTTCCGTCAGTTCCATGACAACTCCATTTGCTTGATGAATATCATTTGATAGAATCAAAAGTTCAGACCACCTACTAAACGGATCTAGCGGTGAGATTATTTTCTCAACTACCTAAATGATTTAAACTGTTAAGAGTGAACTCTGAACATCAGCTGAAATATTCATCAAAAGATTAAAGATTAAACCTAAAATGGTAACAGTGATGGTGAAAATGGATGTTAAGAACCTAAATGTTCTGTTTGCTGTGATAAGAGTGGAAAAAAAATAAAATAAAATGGTTGGAATGAGGAAATTCCTACTGGCACCAGTCACTTTGTTTTAGTCTGAACTCTTTAATGTTACAAATCAGGTCTTTTCCAAAGTACTGTGCATCCAGAGACGTCATTTATTATGTCTCAAGACAAGGTTCTTTTTTTGGTTAATTCTCTGTAATCCATCATTTTATGAGTTTGTCTCCTTTGGAAATGAATCTCTTTAAGTTTCTCTCCCACAACGCTCGGCACTGAGAATGTAAACGTTCCCCAGGAATGCGAGGATCTGAGGAAAGAAAACAAGTTCTTATCAAATGAGATCCACATGGAGCGGATCATGATGCGCACAGAGAATGAGCTGACCATGAGGAACCTCAGGAACCTGAACCAGGAGCTGCAGGCGCAAGTCAAAGAGGTACGCTGGAGCGCATCACCGAAGAAGATAAGAAGCAAAGGCCTCCTGCCTCCTCTGAGCTTAGTATAGAAACCCTGTCTAAAACATCAATTATCTATGTTGTCCAAAATCTTATTCTGAAATGTCACATCAAGCCTCTTTTTAAAACTTACTTTCATCAGAGAGCTTTTCCTGGTTGTGTTTTATTTCTCTTTTATTGTTTTAGTTGTTTTATCTGTTTTTCTTCTCCTTGAAGATCTATTGATTTTATTGATTCTATTTTACTGCCCTTCGGAACGCAGATTTGCTCTATAAATAAAGATTATTATGATTATTGCTCTTTAATTAAAATCTGGAGGCAAGTAGCAACATCCTCTTTGTGACCTCTTTGTAGCAGCAGCCAACAATCTTCTTGACTCTCGACCTGTTGTTTGCAGTAATCAATTACGATGATTTGACACTGTGGCAGTGTGACATTACAGATACGAGGCCGAGTCAAATAGCCTAAGCACAGTTCATCACACTTTTCTCTCCTATCACAGTGTCGTATGACAGCACTTTGGTGATGATGTTGCTGCTTTCAACATCTCTTCAGACATGCAAATTCAGAGGAATGACCTTTATTAACATGAAAATAACTCATATTAACGTATTGTCAAGAAGAGGTCTCCGTTTTTCTATATATGTGACTGTACATTAGCCTTTAAAGAGGCACTCCAGTGGTTTAATATTGCACTTCCACAAATTTGCAAGAGAAAAAGTAAAAATTCAGTTCAGCAAATCGATGCAAGAGAGGCCCAGGATATCCTGACTTTTAGTCTATACGAGTCAAGTTGTAAAAGCACTAGATACTACATTTCCCATAATGCATCCAATTGCATCTTTTCCACGGTTACTGCCAGTGTCTTTCCAAATCCACACCTTCAGTTTGTAACACAGACCTCTGCTATGAATTCATATGGCATCACCTGGATGGCGTGGATTGCCCCTTTAATACTTGAAGACAGTTATAACAAGATACTGATCGTCAGATTAAATCTAGTCTCATATGATGTGAATGTAAAAAGCTGTTTCATGCTGCACAGTAGTTTTGACTGACTCTTATTCTTCAGCTGAGTGGATGGAGTTGTGTTACACCTACAGACAAAGGAAGCCTTCTACTGTTTCCTGACCAAGTCACCGCGGTGTACACACACCCACCTCTCTCTTTCTTCCCCCATCAGCTGAAGCAGAAGTTGTATCAGAGCCAGCAGAGAGCGACGCTGTGTTCCCGGGCTGCGGATGACGCGGAGGAGTCCAGGGGGGAGTCGGAGAAGAT